TAAATATATTTTAATTTCCTATTCCTGTGTGAGAAGTGCGCCCTCCACCTATAAAGTGATCTTGCAAGTAATCGTCCCGGTCGTCAAACCGTTTAATTGCTGTCTCATTTTCTGCCTCTCATTCTTAAATTGACATCAGCACAATGTCTTGAAGCTATCGATTTTTTATCGTTTTTATGATGTTGTTGCTCTTATCGTTGTCGACATGGTTCCCATTAGAGTTTAATAAAGTATAAAGGTAAGAAGTAACTATTTACAAATTACGCCAATTATTCTACGATATTAAGCTAACATTAAATTGTGGATGTGTAAATTTTTCGCAATAAATATCTAAGTACATACACAGACATATGAATAAATATATACGTAGATACATAAGTAATTTCACATTCGAGTAAATATTCTTCGTAAAGTTATATACTCATTAAGTCGTGCAAGAAGGCATTACGAATAGACAAATTTATTAGATATACGAGTCCATGCAATGGCTTGTAATGTACAAAAACAAAAAGAACAAGATTGGTAAAGCGGGAGCGGACATGCTAAGTTGAACAGCAGACAAATGAACAGTTGCACACCTTAGTTTTTTCATTCTTCTTCTTCTTTCTTAGCTAATTGTACAGGTGAAGAAACAATATCACTACCGCCGCCACCTCAAGTATGTATGTATGTACTCGTACAATTTCAGTTCACATTTGTATCAAATGGCTAATAGTAGTAAGTGTCGGCCAAGTTCTAGCGCGGATATAGCACCACCACCACCAACAACAACAACAAGAACACCGCCGCCACGACCAGCGCTGTGTCAATGCACAACGCCATCAACCACCAACCAGCATAATCAACATAGCCAGTGTGGTGTTGTGTTATCTGAACCTGAACGCAATTCTTCTTCAACTCGTTTCCTGCCTGCATTCATCAACGCTTACTCGCTGATATGGCGCATATCTATGTACATACTCTGTATAGCCAACCACGCTTCACTGACAACAAAGAAAGTAAAGTACACAGGAGCTTACTTGCATTCATACAAATAGATACATATCGTCGTTTAAAGTACAAAACCGCGTATCAACAAAATGCAAAACCGCGTATCACATGGTATTAATTTAACAAAAAACTTGCTAATAAATGGTTAAAGAATAACACTTAGAAAAAGACCGGTACAAAGATGAAAGTAAAGGTGAGTACGTACATAGATAAAGAAAAAGATAAAGGCAAAGGTAAAAATAAAAAAAAAACAAAAACAAAGAAGCGTAAAGATAAAGGCAAAAATGAAGACACTTTACGCATATGTATAAGGGCAAAGGTGAAGGGGAATATGTAGACGAAGAAAATGATAAACATAAAAGTAAAAACAAAGATAAATACAAGGAAAAAAGGTGAAGATGAGAATACCGATAAAAGTAAAGATAAACCTAGAGGAAGAAAGATTAAAATAATGGTACTTATAAAGAAAAGGATATGGACGGAGTTGCAGAGCTCATCCGGGAACTATTTCGGAATTTTAGAGATTTTCGGGATTCTCGGGACTTATCGATATAATAATCGATATTTTTATCGATTTTGCTATCGATATTGTTATCGATTTTGATATCGATATTTTCGGAACTTATCGATATAATAATCGATATCTTTAACGATTTTGTTATCAATATTGTTATCGATATTTTTATCGAATTTGTTATCAATTTTTTCATTGAGATTTTATCAATTTTTTTATCGGTTATTTATCGATTTTTCTTATCTATTATTTATCGATTTTGTTATCGGTTATTTATGGATTCTGTTATCGATTTTTGTTATCGATTTTTGTTATCGATTTTTTTATCGATTTTTGTTATCGATTATTTATAGAGGTAGGGATCTAGATAGAAAAGACAAAAAATACAACCTTAAGCATAAGCAGATGTATGTATGTATGTACATTGGTTACAAGACAAAATAGATATGTAACGTAAGTTTCACTTCTCCAGTGTGGCCCAGGCACACTTACTTTTTTTTACCTCCCTTTTATTAGCTGGGGATGTAACTACATATGTAATATTGATGCGCCTAAAAGATGCAGCGATTTCTATTCTCAAGTTTCATACCTGATGACAGTACGAATGGAAATTATAATAGCGAGGTTTTAGTTTTTTAAACTATAATTTTATTATTAAGCAATCGCATATCTGGCTAGCATGTATATTGCAGGATGAATGGATAAGTCTTGAGCCAAGAGCTTGTATGAGCAAATCCAATCATTGGCAAAAAAATTTCAATTACGCGGTTTTGCAGAACGACGATACGCAGTGTTGTACTTTAAACGACGATATGTGTATACCATGGAATGCATTAGTACTCGTATATGTATAACTAGATTCGGCACATAGAAGACATTAGAGCAAAGCAAGCTTTATAGCTCTCGCTTTAAGCCAAAAGTTAAGATATTTTACATTAATTCATAAATTAAAAGCAAAGAGCTCATTGCGTGCCAGCTAAAAGATTTTCCATATGTTCATGTGCCCCAATCTACTATTCTTGGCATTTGTTGCGCTGCTGGGCCAAAGCAAGCGTATCTAATGCAATATGTTTGCAATGTAATGAGTTGCATAAACTAAATTTGCGAGTTATCGAAGCGCAAAACTTGCTAACACCACCAACAACACAGTTAAAGCTTTAAAAATAAAACTCTTTATTTACATAAAAAAAAAAATCGAGTGTGGGTAGTGTATACTAAATATTACATACATACATAAAGATATATATATATGTATTTACTTAGTTATACGGGTGTGTACATAGTACACTTATCCAACCAATGGTATATACTCCACAGGTGAACTATGTTTTCCTTACAACGGAATAAATTAAATGGTATTGTATGTATGTATGCGCATATTTTTATGTAGATACGTAATTATATTATATGTATATATGTACATCGCGTGCTGTTTTGAAATGAACTTGTCTGAAATATGCAATTTTTATTAATCTTTTACTTGGTGCGCTCGTTTACATATGTAAGTAAATGGGGCGTTCCATACCAAAACGGACGGGGTTCACATTTCATCTGTTGGATTTGTTTCAAATTGTTTGGGTTGAGAGAAAATCAACCAAAATTGGTTAATATCACCAAATTCAAACTTGAAAAGGAATCAATGCCTTGGTTGATATTTTCAGCAATGATTTGGTAATATTAACCACAATTTTGTCTACATTAACCAAACTTTCGGTTGGCGATTTATCGTTTGAATAAGTTTATGTTCTGCACTTCACAGATGCCTTTTCATAATTCGGAGAAACAAAACAAACAGTTTTATTATTATTTTAACACGTTGCCTCTGACAAGCTTAGCAACTAACAGCAAGCATCTCTACACACTCAGCTACAGTCGCTTTATAAATCTGTCTCCAAATGTCCAACTTTAATGAATTTTCTTCATCGTTTGATTTGGTTCTGCACTTCACAGAGGCTTTTTCGTAATTAAGAAAAACAAAAAATTTAAAAAAAAATATGTATCGCGCTGACGGCATTCGTACTGCTGGAAGCCAACAAATGACAGCAAGCACCTCTGCTCGTTCAGCCACAAATGTTCAACTTGAATCACATTTCTTACAATCGGCTTATTGACCATGTAAAAATCAAACCATAACTTGGTTGAAAAAACCATTGTGCTTTTGGCTCAGTGCACTTATGAGAACCAAATAGTAGAAATATGAATTTGAATTAACGGCGGCAGGTACAAAAGGCATGATCGAAACTAAAAGTCGTGGAACGTTCCCAAAGAGAATAAAATGCAATAACAATACTTTCGGGAACATTTTTAAGAGAAAAAAATGGGAACAAAATTCTCCGGAATGTTTTGACACAGAACAAAACGGGAACAAAAGTCTAAGGAGCTTTCTCTTTCTATCGGAGAACAATTTGGGAGCTTTGAGTCCTAGGAACTTTCTGGCAGCGAACGAAACGGGAACTAATCTTCTCTGAACTATTCGCGAAGAAAGAAAGCGAAAACAATATTTTTCACATAGCATTTACTTAGTTTGAAAAGTTTGAATATTAAAATTATAAAAAAAAACTGAGACATAACTATGCGAATAAAGTCAACGAAAGACTTAAGATACGAACTCTTTTATTTTATTTTCACTTTATCAAGCGCTTTGATGGAAGTTTTTTATTTTTGCAGCGTTTTTGCGACAGAGGCCACATAGTAGTTCGTCGTTTTACAAATCTATGCCCATGTGCCAGCCCGCAATTAAAGCAAAGATGGAAAAAATACCATCAGCCATTTATAACATTTTCGAACATAAGAGTACGCAAGTATATTTCTTTAAGTACACACATTAGGGCGGGAAAATTTTTTTTTTTACTATGCGCGTATAGCATAGGAGGGTTCCACGTGTAATTCTAAGTAAATTTGGAGTTTACCAAATTGCGAAAATAGGTTTCGAAGAAACTGTGAACATTTCCACTGTTGCACCCTCTGGTGGAAGTTTTAAGAAAAAGATAACTGCAGAAATGGATTTTTCATACCAAAAACCCCCTTATAGCATGATTTTATACAAAATCTACGCACTTCTTTACGACACTACAGCAAAATGCTAAAAACCTATTTTCACAATTTGGTGAACTCCAAATTGATTTTAGACACATGGTTTCATCGTCAAGTTTTCTTAGAATTACACGTAGAATCCTTGTGTGCTATACGCGCATAGTCGGAAAAAATATCCCGTAAAACTTGACCCGCCCTAATATACATACATATACATATGTGCATGTACTTACCCCATCTGCCGTTGCATTTCACCTTAGTGATGTTTGGTAATCTCCCAGCAACCACAAATTGTTGTCATAACATTTTATTAGACATAAAAACAAGCCTAGACTGCTTTGCTTTCGGCGAAAATTGATTCGCTTTCATGGTTATTGCACATTATTAATCTGGAATAGAAATGAAAATAAAAATAAGAAATAAGGTATAAGAAGCTTCTTAATAGTTATTTTATTCAATTGAAATGGCCAACAATACAACAATCAAAATGGATCCCATGCGTGTAACGCTGGCGGATATTCAAAGAGGTGTAGGTTTATTAAGAATTTGCAAATTAATTCGACGCTTAATATTCTAGTTATTTACACATTACCATAGATAACTTTGAGTAAGCAACTCGATAATTTCAAGACTTTTGCGACAACACTACAATGCGGCCGCTCCTTGGTCGGCTCGGCCACGCGTCAGCCTAAGCATATTAAGGTGACACTTTGGAAAACTAGTGAAATTCTGCTGTTCGAACAGCGCAGCTTAACTGTGTTGGCAAACACTGACGAAGGTAAGGCGATTGCAGAGGATAATGAACGTTATGACTACCTTACATCCGCGCAAGGTAGACGACGTCGCACCATCGACGCCGAAGCACAAACCACTGCACTTCTGTATAAGAGTCGCGATGTGAATACCGAACGCATACGCACCGACAATGTCGCTTCATATGTGTCGAATTTCGAAATGTTCGACACCTATAAGGACCTACAAGCTACAACAAAAAGTGTTGAATTGGATGAGCACAAGAAGATGGAGATCACCACTTATAGGGTAGAAGGCAGAGATACATTCATCGACATCAATCAGCAGCAAAGTTTTCGCTTGGCGCTGATGCTTACCATGCGCGCGCTAGCCGGCAATGTATTCGAGCGACAGCAGCGGCGATTTCGTAATATGTGTCTGCCCGATCCGCTGGCAACACAGGTTAGCTACCGTTATCGTGTCGAATTGCTTTGGCGCTTTCAATTGCCACACACACTGGCCGGTGATAAGCAAAAAGCTGTGGCCGATCTCAGCTGGTGTCCACGCAATGGCGATATACTCGCTGTCGCGTATGGCGTGTATACATTCAGGGATGATAATGCAAATTCCGATGGTTGTGTATGCATTTGGTCTATTAAAAATCCAGTCAACCCAGAGCGGCAATATAAATATCGCATACCCGTCATGACTGTGGAGTTCTCGCCCTATAACCCGCAATTGCTGGCCGTCGGCTTGTCGGATGGCACAATTGAAGTGCTGAATATAACTGAGCTCGAGGCACCGCCAATAGCTCGTACTCATCGCCGTTCTCTACATAATTGTGAGCCGATTGTGGCCATAAAATGGATTTCGCAAAGCGATACGATTGGCGAAAATTACGCTACTGAACCATTTTTGGCGTTATCGCGTGATGGTGCCGTTACAAAATATAGCATAATTAATAGTCCACACTTACTGGCGAATCAGCTTGTTTTGTTGGATCGCATCGAGGCAAAGCCCGAAGGTATACAATTAGATAGAACGCGTGAGTTACTACAAGCTAATCGGCATCCACAGGGCTTAAACCTCTGCTTGAGTCCCATTCAAAGTGATATTTATTATGCACTCACGGATGAGGGTTCTCTACACAAATGCTCTACACACTATCCACGGCAACACTTGTCGGTGTTGCAGGTGCAAGAGGCTGGCGCAAATGCTATGGACTTCTCGCCGTGGTCTCCGAAATTGTATTTGACCTGCGGCAATGATTGGTGAGTGATTTCAACCGATGCGGTTAGCTGGTAAAGATTTTTTCCCCGCAACTAAATAACGCTTTTGGTTTAAATACATATGTATCTACAGTGGTGGTCACATAATTAGGCACACTACACCCTCACCAGTTTCGACCATTTATTTGTAATTTTTTTTTAATATTGTTAATGCATACTACAACGAAAACTACATATGTAACTCAGAGTTTCAAACCTTGTATAAGATTTATAAAAATTCGCCAAATTTCAAAAAATTGTAATTAAAATTTCAAACTTTTTACTTAGTTTGGTAGCCCATTCAAATTAAAGTACATGACAGTGCAAGTTTCAGGCAGTTAGGAATTCGCGTTGATTTTTAAGATTTTTTTTTACTAACGGCAACGTGCAACGACAATGACAAAATCACGACAATGAAGGATGATCAATTGTCATTCTGTTGCAAAACCGGAATAGGGCTGTACATCTGACTTCACACTTTTCAAAGCGCTTGGGATAGATGACATCTATTTAGACCTAGAAGTCCTAGTACCTAATAACCAAGTTATCTTGTGGTGGGTTCCGAATACAACGAAAGAGCGTGATCAGCCCGCAGGCTTTCTGTAGTCCGCGTCCAGAAGATTCAGGACGGCAGAGCTCCTAGGCAGATGGGAAGACACGTCTGCGTGTTGAGATGAAAAATCGTGTCAGTGAGAACCATGATTGTTAATTCTAAGCCAGAGGAGACCTGCATCACTTCAACTTCTACATCGTTTATTATTTAACTAACTATTATGGAACAAATTTTAATTTTTTGTTAAAATAAAAAAATATAAAAAAAAATTTCGTGTCTTAAGTTTTTCGTTAACTTAATTTGCATAATTATCTTTCAGTTCTTTTTGATTAATTTTTATATTCAAATATTTTAAACTAATGCTGCGCTTTAAAAAAATAATTATTTCTCATAGAATATTTGTTCTCGTTTCGTTCTCTGCCAGAGCGTTCCTGAGACTTTAGTTCCCATATTGTTCTCTTTTTATTTTTTTTTATGGAGAGTGATGCACCCTAATGTATATTAGATACATATACTGATATCAATACTGATAATATCATTCGATAAATTCCTAATATTTAGTGTGAAAACAACAGCACTCTTTTGCATTAACAATTCTCTTAAAATCTCTTTACAGGTCATTAAATATTTGGTTGGATGGTATTTTTCAACCAATATTCACTTTGAAGCATCATATAGGTCCCATTCACTGCGCCCATTGGAGTCGTACACATTCCACAATTATAATTTCGTTGAGTCGAAATTATGTTGATGTTTGGGATATTAAGCAAAGCATATTGCGGCCTATGTCGTCGACTAGCATCAATGGGGAGTACTACACCTGTTGTGAGTGAGTAATTGACATTTATTCTTATACATACATATATATTTAATTTAATTTTTTTAATAATTTTCATAGTCTTACTCTAACCTCATTTTTTTTTTAGTTTGTCGCTTTGTGGTCGCTCATTAGCTGTTGGCAATGAAGCTGGTAACGTTTTGATGCTTGCCTTCGAAGATATGCCGTTTCCCGCATACTATCAGTATGATCAATTGGAGAAAGCTATACTCAACTTGCTCTCCAATAATAAGGAAATGAAGAACAAAGTTAAGAGTCTCGGTTTCTTTGGCTACACAGAACATGTTAGATACAGGATCAAAAAACATGGTAAAAGGAGTAAAAAATCACATACTGAAACTATAGAGAGAACAACTGTAGAGATAACTTAAAATTTAGTTGTAATAATTCAAAAGCTTTTTTTTTTACTAATCTCATATGTAATAATAAATGTGTAGGCATAATAAAAATTAGAGTTGATTAAAACTTATTTTGGTTTAGTTTTTGAGAGAGTCTCTCTTTAGAAATATTCTAAAAGAATGAGAGTTAGTTATTTAGAGGGCGTTGCAGAATGCATTAAATGATCCTGACGGAGTTCCTTACAGAACTTATACGGTGACATGAAAAGAATTTCCGCTGCGTCCAGACTATTGCCCTCTCTGTCCCTGTTGTCTGGCTAAGATAGTAAAAAGTCTTTCGTAAGACATATGAAAGACAGATGGCAAGATAGTTCGAACGATTTTTGTTATTCTTGCACAAAAGTCTTAGAAAAAAGCTGTCTCATTCAGGTCTCGGTCGGCGGTTTTTTTATTTATATTTTTTTGATTTTTAATTTTTTTTTAAATTTTGTATACATAAATATTTTTTAATATCATTTAATTTTTAGAAGCTTATTTTATGCTTTTTGCCTTTTTCAATTAAATTTTTATAATTAATTGTTCTTTTAATTTTCAAAAAGAATATTTTTTAATTTCATTCAAAATATAAGGAACTGATTTTAGTTTAATTTTTAGACTTTATTGCTTAAGAAAGCAAATTGTTTTTAAAAAATTTATTTAACTGTTAGGAATTTATTTTATGTATTTTTTCTTTCTGCTAATTTTATTTTTTTAATTTTTTTTAAGAAAATGTGTTTTTATTTCATTAAATTTTTTGCATCTTATTTTATTTATTTTTTCTATTTTAATTGTATTTAATTTTTTTTTATTTTTTTTAACTTTTAAATGTTTTTGTTTTAAAAAGAAAATGTTTCTTAAATTTTATTTAATTAAGAATAATATTTTTATTTATTTTTACTTTGTTTTCATTTTATTTTTTTAAATATAATTTTTTTATTCATTAGTTTTTAATTTTTTGAAAGGAAAAATTTATATATTTTTTAATTTAATTTAATTTTTAAAAAACTTGTTGCTATGCCAATATCATAACACTAAGACCTCCTCGTTAGCAGAGGTAGCTTTCAAGATAGTTGACAGAATTGGCAATTTCCTTTCGAAAGATTGTGGTGAGTTGAAAGACAGTTGCCAGAATCGCCCTGTAAGGCAGATGCTAGCAAAATCTTCGCCAATACGAAAAAGGACAGGTTGGTATGGGCCAATAATTCGATTATTTCAACAGCTCAGGGAGGCTCTACTGGACGCCCCTCCTTAGTGAGGACTGAATGCGAATCGTTGAACATAACAAACAAGGATGCCATCAATGACGAGAGCTGTCTCCATTGTTGTGGACACTTCTGTTAAACAAGATCTGCCTGCGAAATTTACTGTGCGGACGACCTGACCATGATGTGACTTGATATATGTATGTACATAAATCCCGATAAGAGCTGCCCATTTCACAAGGAAATAAAATATTTCATCCTGGAGCGCCAGATCTACGAGATATCAAGGGGTTATTATGAATAATAAGTTGTCTTAAAGACTGTCTTGCCCCGTCCACCGCATTTCTTGGATGACGTTGGTATCTTGCCTTGGTCTTCGCGAGGACATTAACTAGCCGGACAAAAGCGCCTTTCCGTCGGGACATACCAGGTGCATGCCCTCAAATCTTAGTACTTTAAACGTTTGCCGTGGTCGTTCTTGTTGTAACTTTTCCTTGGGAGGGGTTTTTACGTGACGGGACACAAACCCAGGGCACGCAAAGTTTTTCGCCTACTAAAATATAAATATCCGGACGTCGCGAACTGCGCTTGAACCGTACACAAAAAAAACACTTGTGGCCAATCTATGGTGAATAGCAATCAGAAAACACAAAATCACTGCCACTTCTAGTAACCTCAATTCCAAGTACCTTGTTAAATTTAACTAAATAATAACCAACCTTTGAAACCCTTGAATTTAAATTAGCAGTAAATACGTAAACACTGGCTTATCTGCTACACTGTAATGCATATTAGGTGTAACGGTTTACTAGACGCACTTCCAAATTTATTCAGTGATAAGTTCTGCATACACAAGTTCATTACATACTTTTATTCTTTTGATTAAACCTTGTACGTTTTCCACGTAGTTCATACGTACGTACTTTGTTACTTGGCATTTTTGAATTTTCTTTGATATCGCAAAGTTTTATCAAACACAACATTAGTAGTACAAGTGCAACCGTGCGAACTGCGCGACCAAGATATGGTTTAATTAACATTCACTTTTGATTCCTGATTTCACGACACTCACTGCCAAGTCGAAAACAGCGCTTAGTCACAACTTTAACAGTTACTACCAAGCTTAGAACTAACTGGCCTGCATTTGCGCAAAGTCAATAAACAACAAACATATAATTCACTCAGAATCTCAGCATTTTCATCTCGATTAAGTTTATTTGTTTCATTTATTTATTTCTCGGCTAATGCTGCGGTTTGGCATTAAACGCCGTTCAAGTTCAAAAAATTACCTTATTTGCGGTTTGTTTTCAATATTCTGCTTAGTATGAGAATCACTTGCAATTTCAAAGCTTGAAGAGCACCTATGCATCTCTCCGAAATAAACCATACCTATTCAGTGCAAACGATTGGTGTGATTAATGTTTCGAAAAATTCGCATGCTACCAGTTGCAATTGAACATTTAATTAAAGAAAATGGCACAAACGCGTTACATACTGCCGCTTTTGATGCCTGAAAGACAATTGGTACGCGCTTTTCCAGCGCCCTACAATGACGTCGTCTCACCATATGCCGAGGTGAAGGATTTTTCCAAAGCAGTACGTTTCGAATCGCAATGGCAGCCAAAATTAAAATTACGTCCACGCAAAGTTATACTCATCGGCGATGTGGCGGTGGGTAAGACAACAATGGTGAATAGGTAAGCGGTGTTTTTAGTTGATTGTGAAAAGAATTTTATTAATATCTATTTTTAGATTTTGTTTCGATAAATTTGCTGAAAAATATAAAGCAACAATTGGTGTCGACTTTGAGATAGAGAACTTTAATGTGCTGGGGCAAAATTTCACGCTTGAAATGTGAGTAATGAATATTTATTCCACCGCGGCCATAAGTAATTTTCTTCATATTGTATTTTTTTTTTAATTGTCGATAACCCAATGTATAGTTCCTAAGCTACTAAGGTACTAAAATTAAGCTTCACTAGTGCAAAAAGAAATTTAAGATTGACCAACTATGTGTATCAAAAAAAAAATTTCAATTAAAGAGTGCACTTTTCTCAAAACATTTGGCTATATCTCAAAAATTGCTCTACTTTCTTATATTTTGATTTCGTATTCGGATTCAGCTGGAAATTTTACATTCAGTCTTATCATGAGGATGGACGGATGACAAATTTTCGGTTAAATTTTTTTTTCAGGCGAAACTCAGGATAAGGCGGATTATAGTTCATATGAAAATTTCGAAGATCTAATTTTTTTTTAGTACGATTTTCTCTTAATATTTTCTTTTGCATCTAGGTGGGATACAGCTGGCCAAGAACGCTTCAAATGCATTGCACAGGCTTATTATCGAAATGCTAATGGTGAGATGGCAGTTAATGACTGCTGATTTATTGAATGTCATAGTTTTTATTACAAAATTTATTTGCAGTTATTATAGTCGTTTTTGATATGTCCAAACCAGAAACACTGAATTCAGCAACAAAATGGCTCAAAAGCGCACTGGCTGTTAATACAATACAAATGCCATTAACTTTTTTAGTTGGCACCAAATCTGATATGTTGGTTAGTTTATATGCATAGTAACACGCATTTTAACACATACATACATATGTACGTTATTAAAAAAAAAACGTTTTGCATATTAAATTCATTAAATTAGATAAACTCGTAATTTTTTATTTTATTTTTTCTCAGACCAAAGAAGAATTTGTACGCGTTGAACGTCTGGCCGCAGATGTTGCTGAAGGTATTAAAGCTGAATATTGGTCAGTTTCTGCGCGAACTGGCTATAAGGTTGTGGATTTTTTTCAACGTGTAGCCGCGCTATCCTACGAGACTGCATGCAAGGATGCAATTATAGAACGCCACTTTTTAGAGAAATCTGTGGCGGTGCGTTTACAACGAAAATCAAAACAATGCGGTTAGTTGCACACATACATACATATATACATAAGTAAATATGCTTAATTTTGTGTTCACAAGGAATAACCACTAAAGTTTGAAAACAAAATTTTGAGAAAATCTATTTATTTTTTTTTTAATTATGGAAAAAATTAATATTAATAACTTATTCCATTTTTCGTTCATAAATTAACATTATTTTTTGCAATTTTGGTCCTAGTCGGTTTTAGCGATTATGCCTTTTCATCATGGAATTATTTCTAAGCGTGCGATGTTTTCTATTTTCAGATTTTCGCAAAAACTATCTAGGAAATAAAGCGACGAAGGAAAGAAGCTTATGCTTTTGTGCATAATATACGATTAACTAAATTGTAGACAATTATATTTTAAGTAATAAATTATATATACAAACATACGTATGTATGTATGACCAATATGTTTTACATCGAACATTTATTTACACACAAGGAATGATATTTTGTTAAGGAAGCGGAAATAAATAATTTTGATACCAAAAACACATTAACAAGTGCCAGTGCTAGGTAGAAGAAAAACAGCACTACTTACCACACTACTACACAACACATCGCAAGCGGCCAATTATTTCACTTATGAAAATCTTTGCAAGAACATCAACGCCACATTGACTGCTGAATTTTCGCGTCGCCCTATCAATTTGCTTTAAACAAATACTTGCACGCTGATTTATTTACTTCATTTCACACAAACTATTTTAACATTATTAACAAATGACGCTTTTAAAAAATGCTTAGAGAGCCAAAGGACGCTTCTGCCTTCCCGCCATACAATGCATTGCTAAGCAGAAGCTTCGCTTGTTTTCAAGCAAAATAAGGCATTGTAGGCGCATTTTTAACACACTTGGTGGGCATATTTGATTTATTACACACTTTACCAAAGCTACCAAACGTGCTACACTGCTTTTATTTACGGATATTCTTTAACTTTTAACAGTTTTTCACTTTGTCTTGGCACAATCAATTTACTTCCTGTTCTTGTAATTTTTCAACTAGCGCAGAGTTGCATTAGCATTTCGAATTACGAATATTGTGCGGAAGTTCGAAAAATTACTAGCTGAAACAGGGTTGCTCAAAATTGCTTTAAAAGAATGAAAATTAAATAATTTTAATTAACGAGTTTTCTGTTAAGGAAATGAAATAATGGTACGGGGTAAGTTCGCTAGCAAGAAGAAGAAACTAAACAGATTTAATTAAGTTATAAGATACAAATTTTGGTCATTCATCACAAGTTTTATAAAATGTTAACACTTTCTATTACTATCTATTACTACTGTCAAAGGACGTAATATTCGTTTCTATTGCGTTTAATATTTTGCAAACTTTAGGCTCTAAACAAATAATTAAAGCTTATTAATTAAAAATATCAAACTTCTCATCCGGGAAATACAGTGTTGCATTTGCTATTTACGTTTCCCGACACACCCCAAATTTTGACGTAACCACCTTTCGAGTTCGAAATTCGAAAATACGAACTTCCGCCTTTTTGACAAAGACGGAAGATTTTCCTTTCCATTTCTTTTTTTCGTAGTAATGGCACCCAAAAAGCCTGCCGAGAAATCCGGTAAGGGAATTATACCAATTTAATGCATTTGCTGTTGCCAAAATTGTGTACAAAAGTGCCTCATAACTAAGGAAATCGACTACAAACGAAATTATAAAGGTTTTTTTTTGGTAGAAATGTGCAATATTTAAAGAAAGTGGTTTGTGTGTGTGGCCACGCGGTCGCAGCTCCAATACCAGCTAAAAGTGCACTCTTTTGCTTAAAATATATTCAAAGTGCACAGCTTTTGTTGCATTAAGCAATTAGAAGAAGTGTGCATCGTGTAATTTTTCTATGATTATGTTCCTATTAACTATTTTGGTTTTTGTTTATCAACTGCTTATAATACACCTAACCTCATTGTGCACCAGTGCTATGCGACATATTTACATACATATCCCACTAATTGTACCTACGTGTTTTAACAGCCAAACCCGGCGACAAGAAGCCAGAGAAGAAGCCAACGGCAACTTCTGCAGCTGGCTCGGCTTCAACTGCAAAACCTGCTGCTGCCAAGAAAGCTGCACCCGCCAAGAAGCCCGCTGCTGCCCCAGCTGGTGGTGTCAAGAAGCCTGTAGCCAAGAAAGCAGCGCCTGCCAAAAAGCTCGCCACCAAGCTCAAGCCAAAGGCTAAGGATGCTAAGAAGAAGGCTGCCGCTGGCAAGAAGCCACAATCACTCTTGGCTAAATTGTCGGCGAAGGCTCGCGCCGCCGCTAAGGGCAAGAAGGTCGCCGCTAAGCCCGGTGCTAAAGTGCAAAAGGGTACAGCAAAGGCTAAGGCTGTTGCTTTATTGAAGGCCAAGAAAGTGCAAACTAAGGTAAAATATATTTTTTTTTATACATACCGTTTGGATTAGAGAGTATGTATGCTTTTTGGAATATTTTCAGATTGTGAAGGGTGCTTTTGGTACACGCACACGCAAGGTGCGCACCAACGTGCACTTCCGTCGGCCAAAGACTCTGGTGTTGCCACGCCGTCCTAAATACCCAAGGAAGTCGGTGCCAACCAGAAATCGGTATGTATGAAAATTGTATAAATGGAGAATGAAACATTTTTAACAAATTTTGTACTGCGTTTTTTGAACAGCATGGATGCTTACAATATCATCAAATACCCATTGACTACTGAAGCAGCCATGAAGAAGATTGAAGATAATAACACGTTAGTGTTCTTGACGCACTTGCGTGCTAACAAGAACCACGTACGTGCTGCTGTGCGTAAACTTTATGACATTAAGGTAGCCAAGGTCAATATTTTGGTGAGACCTGATGGTCAAAAGAAGGCCTACGTTCGCTTGGCGCGCGACTACGATGCACTGGATATAGCTAACAAGATCGGCATCATATAAACGTTGCGCGTTTTTCGTTTCTTTTACGTATAGAATTTTTCAAAGAAAAATAGACATTAAAAACCGGATAAAAGTAATTTTTATCTAAAATAAAAACAAAAAAATATATAATATTCTAAATTTGGCTTGAGCGCAGGTACACAACCATCATGATTCAATAATTAATTAATAATTATTATTGAACCATGCACAAACATGACAATACGGAATGTTACTAATTCGACGCTTAACTGACGCTGACTGTTAGGGGGAAGAAAGTTTTTATTTTTTATTTTCAGGTTTTCAAGTGTAACTATCTCATGGTCGAGGCACATATGTTGGAAACTCGCTATTTAAAGGTAATAACTGATTTATTTTACTTGTTTATTTACCTGTTATGATGATCTTTTAGTGGGAATCTCATTGAATATTTCTATATCATGAAAATATTTATATATATATATGTATCTGATATTCCTAATAATATAAATACCTCTTTTTGATCCCAAGATTTTACTAATTTTTATCATTTACGATTCCTTACAGGTCTATCTTTCCAACTTATAGCCGAATTATGCTGAAGGAAAGGTAATAAGCTGAAAGAAATTTATTAAAAAGATAATACAGATTTAATTTAATAATTTTTGTTTGATGATATATTAGTGGGAATCTCATTGAATTCCGCCTTGTGTTATTATGAAAACATCTTAAAGTAACTGATTATGTTAAAAAGAATTGCTTTACATATTGGTTTAAGTACCGTATAATTTATACCCGTTTAATTTCATTTGCAGACTTTCACCTAAACGGCCTTCCAAAAAATGCTAGGAACTTGAAGGTAATGACTTGAAAAATTTTGCTTCATTCAATACACTTTTCTGATGATTTTATAGTGGGAATCTCATTGAATTCCGCTTAACGTTATAATGAAAATATTATCACATAACTGACCTAATGAATGACAACTACTAGCTTTTAATTTTGAAATCATTTTAAAATAAGTCCTTTAATTATTTTTCAGGTACTTGTCTGCGAATTAATCTTTCTCACACACGCAAGCGCCATAGACACTATTGGAGGAATTGAAATGTATATTAAGGTTGCATTAAATAAATAAACTGGCATCTAAAGCCCATATTGGTTATAATTTGTTGCATATTTTCTTGAAGCAATTTCTACACAGGACTTTTATTTATCAAGGAATCCCTAGGCTTAAATAACACAACGTGCGCTCCCCAGATTTTATGAATTTCCCGCATTTGGAAAATCCAAACCGCTTTTAAATACATATGTGCATATATTATTGGTTCTAACAAAATCTGTCGGGCTCGAACCCGTAACATAGAAACCACAAGCCAGGCACAAATGACTAATATGTCGGCGACGATATGCAGCCGCAGACTATTTAACTTTTTAATAAATTTGGATAATCTTAACCTGCAAATGGTATCGTAGGGGCCGTACGACGCATACGCACCACCTTTCAGTCACCTATTTCAAATTAAGCTAACCATTTAATGGTTAAAAAGTTTTGTGATCGAGAGAATTAGGCTATTCACAAACTGTCGTAAGTCGTATAATTTTTTAATGAAAAATAAGTTAAATTAATTTTAGGGAATTTCTAACTACAAAATATATTTAAACTGATGCACCTTTTAAATACCTTAAAAATTATGTGAAATAACAGTCAAAATAATTTTAGGGAATTTGTAACTACACGAAAATCCCTCTGAATACACCCCTTAAGACCAATTTTGACTACATGTGTTTTGTACGATACTGGAACAGACCACTTGTTCATATCACATAATTTTCCAACCGCATCATCGCACAACTTGGCTGCACTGTTTTATCCTCGCTGTCATGGCGGCTATGTACATGGCTGTCAAATAGAAAAAACCATTGAACGCGATTATCGGCGAATTTGCAAAAATTTCTCTTGTAAAATAATAGTGAAAATTAAAAGCACAAGCTTCGTATTTCCATCGGTATTTTAAGAATACCGAGGTGTTTGCTTGTAAAGAAAGTTAAATATGGCAAATTTTGCCATGGAGTGATTTTCCAATTCCATCGATTTGTTGCAGCGTATCACACCGCCCTGCCAATATTATATACATACATTCATATATATATAGGACAGGGTAGGTTGGGATTGCATATTTCAGCAAGCACAGCGAATTATCTTTGCAGCAGCACTGTCGCTTACAAGGACATTGATCATCGTTCAATTGAACTATTTAACAAAGTATAGAAATGTACAACGGCATTGGTTTGACAACGCCACGCGGGTCTGGCACCAATGGGCACGTACAACGTAATTGGGCATTTGTACGACCCGGCAAAAAAGACAATTCAAATTATCGTTCCGAGGAAGATATAAAAAAGCTAGATGCTTCTCTAAATCGTCCTCCTAACAAGGAAATATTGGACCATGATCGTAAACGGAAAATTGAAGTAAAATGCATTGAATTCGAAGAGATATTAGAGAAACAAGGGTAAGTTGTTAATTTAATGAAATCTAATAAACCTTCTAAATATATAAGATTGAACATACTCAAACTTGATAACTGGTAAGGAAGTCTCAAATCGTTCCATTTGTTAAACACGTATCTACATTCTCAACCGTTAAACCTCATACTGGGTATTGGAAAAAACTAAAAACATAATGAGTGTGCTAACTACTCATAAAATTTTTTAGTAGGCCTTCTTTAGTTAATTCATTATAAAAGGCTTAGAAGGCTGCAAAAGGTCTTCCCTGCATGCTTCTAGGAGAGCTTTTCCTATTACGCAAATGTACCCATGTATGAATATTATTGAGCATTACAAATAAATTTCAATATGCATTTCAAGTTTGAATAAAACATTTTTTATGAGCCTTAAATAAAAGTAAGCATACCGAAAGTAAAAGCCCTTCAATTTGTGTCACTACACACAAAAACGAAGACCCCTTGGATGGCAGAAACGGAACTTCAACTGCTAAGAGAGGCCTGTGTTACCCTGGCCCAGTTATTGTATGGATACTGTAGCCGCCTCAACAGCTACCTGTACAAACGACCCCAATATCGCCAATTAGTGTCAGGCATGTGGAGACTTCCCGCACGACACCAACCATCTCTTCACATGCCAGCCCAATCGCACTCAACTAACACTCCTCTACCTTTGGTGGGACCCTATTGAAACTGCTCGTTTCCTGGGCCTACCGATAATTGAGCTTGACGACAAGGATTGAAGAATGAACCTAAATAGGCGAGGCTTAGTAGTGCCGCTACAACAACAACAACAACAGCAACCCCGTGAAAGTCCTTTTAGCTCTTCAAACTAACTACTGGGTAGGATTAAAACCAGAAATATTAAGTGTAGAATCCGTTTATCGCATACATTGCAGAAATTAATGTTTATTTTAGTATGTATCAACATTTACAAGAAATATTGTGAACGTGTTCCCCACCCAAAATAAATCTTTTCAATTGTTATTGCATCGCTTATTTAGCGTGTTCTCTACCCAGTTCCTCATGTAATTTCACTGTCCTGTTTTGACTTTACTATTCAACATTTCTTTATATTGGGGTGGCAAGAGAACAAGAATAAAGGTTTTACGCCTGTTTCATACATAATTTTCACGCTGAGTGAACAAGTTGAAAATAGTTTGTGCGCTCTATCTGCATAGCGCTAGGAAGCCACTAAAATATTGCAAACTTGTTTGGTGGAAAGAAATTAAAGATTTTCTTAAAAGTAAAAATAAAATTTTAGCAGAAAGCAAAGGATATATACTTTTAATAAAGTACAAATAAGCCCTTACAATTAATACGTATAGATTTAGGTATCTGAGTAGAGAAATATCGATCTTTCACAAATTTTCAGCTGCTAACTTTTTGGTTTAATTTTGTTTGGTCGGTATGCCGCAAGAAAATTTTAATTTCTAGCTGTGACGCTAATTTTGCTTGTTTTAACTGTAACTTGTATTTATTTCAGGCGCACACCGGAGGAAATAAAAACTAAGGTTGATTCATATCGCCAAAAATTAATGGGACTAGGAAAAAGTGATTTGCCTAAAGATGAATTCGGAAGAATAGCGTAAGTGTATTTAATATATATGTTTATGTATAGTTCCTACGCAGGGTTATTTTCCGTTATGTCCGACTGCTAAACAAAAAACGAAAAATTAATTTAAAATTAAATTTCTTTAGAGAACAAAACAAGCTAGTTAGTGTATTTAAAAAGTTTTAATTGTTTTTATACACCATATTATATAATTTTGATATGTAATATTGGTTCTGATGTTATTGCATGCAATTTGCAACCCCAAAAGCTGCTGTATGCTGTATAACTCACAAGCGAAGATATTGTTCTCTCTACTTTGTGCCCTACTTACTCACCACCCACCACCACGCAAGGTGGATGTCTGTAATTTTTAAGCTCAAATCATTTGCACTCTGCACAGATTGCAGAGATGTTTAGTCAACTCAAGTCTTCCAAGGGTTGCACAACCCAAACGCTGTGCATATTTAATTAACTTCAAATAAATCAATATACAAACATATTAGAAATAAAATATAATAATATTATTTGAAAAGCAAGCTAATTGCATTACTTTAAAGTAAATTTAAATAATAAAAGTGCTGCTGCTGTACAAAAGATTCTTATTAAGGCTGGATATGCATGTGTGGCAACCATTTTTAGCAATTTGAGAAAAATCAATAATCAACGCAATAACATACATCGTCATGGAAATAAAAAAAAACCAACTGCAGTATGTTTTGGTGCCAACAACCAATTTGGAAATTTGACGAAAATTATCTACTAACTGGCGACGGTGGCAAAATCCGACAATGAAAATTACTTGCCTATTTTTACGATGGCCTGAATAAAAATTCGTTTGAAAGATATTCATTACAACAAAGCCCCACTAACAAATTTCCATAGTAAAATGCGTGGGTATTGGAGCTGCGTATTAGAAAATTTATGCGGTTTCTCCGTTACTAAGTGGATTAGAGGATTAACGTAAATTTGGAAAAAAACAAATGGAATATGCTTGAAAAGCGAAGTAAGAAGAAGTTATAAAGCTTCAGAAGAAATGCTATAAACTTCAAATTAATGCAACAAATCACTCATCACAGAGTCTTCCATTTAGGTGATTACTATTTAAGTTAATTAGTCAGGAGTTTAGTACCATATCGACTAGGCTCCAGATAGCGCGAAAATAAAAATTCTGCAACAAAAAATAAATAAAATAAAATAAATGTGTTAACTGCGCTGAAATAAAAATAATAAAATTCTTTGTACGCGCGTTCAAATTATAAAAAAAGTTAGTAATAATAAAATAAATTTCATTATAACGCGAAAATAAAAATTCTGCCACAAAAAATATAAATAAAATAAATGAATTAACTGCGCTCGAATAAAAATAATAAAATTAGTAATAATAAAATAAATTCCAATATACGCGTAGTTTAGAGCAAACGTCTGTTGGATGCCCTTATAAAGGGATCTAAAGCTATATTTCGTATTTTATGCATAATCCAACGTCTTCCATGTTGCTAAATCAAACAACAAAATATTTATAACAATTATAAAATTTGCTGAAGCATTGATAGTATTTAAGAAATAAACAAAAACGAAGATAGTTAAGTATAATCCCATGTCTTCCTGCGTGCGCGCTGAAAATATAAATTATATAAGTGATATATACATGTTTAATGAATATCATTTTAATATTCTGACAAGAAATATTTCGCTTGGGAATTCATATTGATTACTAAGAAAAAATAAACATGTGAAACTCCTCATACTAGAAATAATCCAATGTCCTCCATAA